CCACCTCTCCATCTCTGACTGATGACGTTCACAGCTTTTCAGTTTGAAGCCTGCAAGCATGGCATCGTATACTTACAAGCTTACATTGAGTACAGTCATTGCATGAACTTTGTATCTGAACATGAGCTTATTTGTTCAGACAGTGACACTGGCAACAGAGAAATAAAATGAAATTATTTATTTCTGAAAAGCACTAGGTTCCCACTCTTAGGACTCACCTCAAAGTCTTAAACACTTCCGCACATGACATTAATCCTGGTAGAAGCTATTTAGATTCACAAATGGAAGACAGGGAGTGACGTGTCTAGATAAGGGAAGTCTTAAAACTGTTCTTGAAGCTAATGTGGAATGGAACTAGTACTTTGTAAACAAGTTTGCTGAACACTGTATTGGATTTAAAATGCTCTCTCATAGGAGGTAAAGATGTGGGATTGTTCAGTGTAAAACAACTGGTTTGTGTGTGTTGCAATTCTTACATTTTCAGTCCTATTATGAGACATACCATTGCAAAATCAAAACACATCCTTGCTACCTGGCAGCTCTGTCAAAAGGCCTCATTTATGCTGGTGTGTTGAAGTGGTAATTGAGATAACAGAATTTCAGATTCACCAATACATTTCAAGAGTTGCTTATATTTTATTCTGTCAAAGCATACCAAGTAAATGACTTTATGGATATATAAATCTGAAATGTTCACATGGTCCACATTATATCATGTTACAATCATAATGTAAGGCCTGTTTACTACTGAAATTGCTTCTAAGAGCATGAAGTGAAAGTTTAGAAAGTTTAGGTTGGGTGAGTGGCATGCCTGAAGACAGGCAACTAGACAGTGACAAAATTGAGCCAGAACTGAGGGTTTCTGATTTTACGTTTAGTGCATATTTGGGCCTAGCATGATGGCTCAGTGCCTAAATCCTTGCCTTGCATGCATTGGGATACCATTCGGGTGCCAGTTCATGTCCCCATTTATTCTTTATGTAGAATGTCCTATGCAATTGAGACACGAGCTTCATTGGATCTCTGGGTATTTATTTGGGTGTCAAGGCCAGTCAAGACTAAAGTCTTCACTTCCTGCCCGGTTCCCTGTTTATGGTCTGGGAAAGCAGTAGAGGTGGTCCAAAGCCTTGGGCTCCTGCACCCATGTGGGGACCCAGAGGAGGCTCCTGGCTCTTGGATCTCTATCAGCTCAGTACTAGATGTTGAGGATACTTGGGGAGTGAACCAGCAGATGGAAGATCTTCTCTGTATCTCCTTCTCTTTGTAAATCTGCCTTTCCAATAAAAATAAATGAGTCTTTAAAAAAAAGTTAGTACCTTTTAGATTATAGGTGCAGATTTCAAGAAGTTTTTGGATAAATGAATTTAAAGTAAGAGTTTATTCTGACGCAAAACAATTTGAAATTCATATGGGCTTTTCATCATACACATTTCCATCTCCTGAAGACCTCTGAATACATAAATGGATTTTTTTACACCAAAATAAGCTTGTCTGTTTATTACATTTGTTCACGTGTCTTGAAGTATCGTGCCCTACAGCACCTTTCATTTGGTCCCTGAAGCTGCAAATGACTGCCCAATTTCTTTGTAAGAAGTCCTTGTCTTTGATTCACCTGTACTCTGGTGGGACAATCACAGCCTGGACCTCTTCTCTCTCACACAAAAGCTGGCATCAGGTTTCTCTGCTGGGCCAGGATCTTGGCATTCTTCTCCTCGTAGGCAAGGCTGATTCAGCCAGTGTTGCCACAGTATCCTGCTTCCTGTTTTACTCACATGATGTCAAAGGCCACTTTATTACTCTGCAGAACAATGAGACATGACTAGGTGCAACATAGAAAGTTTGACAGCGAAAATAGCTGCTCTTTCCAACTCTTCAGCTATCGTGGTGTCTCCTGTTTATACCTTTTTTTAAATCTGCTTTCTTTCAGAGCCTAGAGCTATTTAAGAATGACCAGAAATGTGCCACAGGTGGATAGCCTAGCCTGTGCTTTGGACACAAAGGACAATCCAGGATAACAGATAGCCTATCATAAAGGTCACAGAGCATAGGTGTAGAGTCAAGGGAAATGGGGACTCAGTAACCCATTTATACCCAGCCTGGAGAACTGAGAGAGGGAGAGAGAGAGACAGAGAGAGAAAGGGAGAGAGAGGGAGAGAGAGAGAGAGAGAGAGAGACAGAGAGAGACAGAGACAGAGAGACAGAGACAGAGAGAGACAGAGAGACAGATAGAGACACAGATAGAGACAGAGAGACAGAGAGATTGAGAGAGACAGATAGAGACAGAGAGAGAGACAGAGAGAGAGACAGATAGAGAGACAGAGAGAGAGAGAGGCGCTCCAGTGACATACTGCAGGTTTATTTCCCTCTTTAGATTAAAGTGAATAATTCTAAAGTTTCTGCAAATCTTTCATATGAAATGAAATAATCCACTTCCCAGGCTGGGAATATGAAGTATTTGATGTGACTGCTGAATACTTCTTTTGAATGGCAAACACTCAGAGAAGTGTGTGTGTAATTAATATCCAGTTGTAAGCACAATACCTCCAATGAAACTTCCCAATTCTTTATGTTAGAAAGTATCTGTCTTGTTTTCCTTCTCAAAACACAACCCAAGAATTTTCATGCACTCTTTTAGAAACAGTAGATAGTATTTAAAATCAGCTTCCATACATAAAAGGCTTAAAAATCTGTAATAAAAACCATTAACATGAAAGGAGAGCTGGTGTCTTATTTCTTCCACTGTTAGCATCACAAACGGAGAAGAACCAGGAAATAATCACATTTAAAGAGAGTTATAGTTACCATTTTTAGTTCTGACCAAGTTCAGGGCTTGTCTGCTTCTCAAATTCAATATTTCATTTTTTAAAAGCATTACATACAGGAAACAGCCCATTTGGAGGAAGGCAGGACACGAGTTTCTGCAAGGATGGGGGCTACTGATGTACCGGGAGACTTGAGTAAGCATTCACATATTTATTAGTGCCAGGCCAACTTGAGTAATAAAATATAGATGCAGATACTTACTAACCATTTCACAGGTGGATAACATAACATTCTGAAGTTTGCTATACATGTTAGAAAATAGTCTCTGATTTTTCTTGTTCTTTGGTTGAATGTGGGTCAAAAAAATCATTCTTACAATAATGAGGGTTTGTTTTTTTCCCCTTGTAATATGAATTCAAACACAATGATGGAGGGTGCTTTGTTCAGTTCCCATCAGGTTTAACTAAAGAGTGATTTTAAACCTCTATGCTGAAGTGATGATTGGCTTCTTATGACCTAGAGTTAGGTACTTGCGGATGTCAACAGTATGACATTTTCTTCTTCTTAGCCACATGAAAGCTCAACATATGCCATTCATTGTTCAAGTGGACCCTAAAGAATCACTTTCAAAGGACACCATGGCTGAGGAAGTAATATTTATCAACATTAAATAAACACTTGGTGAAGTATGCATAAATATTTCTTCATATAAACTTAACATGAAATTAAATAGTTCAGATACACAGACACCACGAAGTATACTTCCACTGTTGTCAAAGTCATCTGTAAACACCAACTCACACTGAATACAAAAGCAGCTTCTACCCCAGCTCTGGGTTCACGACACAGATGCCCTGTACAACGGTAAGGGGTCTCCTCAGCCCTCCCCCCACCCTCCCCGCCCTCTCCCCACACAGCCCCAGCAAAAGGAAGAAAGGAACCCCAACATCTACAGCAGCAATGACGACAGAACAGCAGCACCCCATGCCCTCCCCCCAAATAAAACATGTAGCATTTTGGTCAATTCAAAGGAGAAGGCAAAATTATTATTATACCCAAAAGGTAAACAAATCAATTTGAAGCAGTATTTTCCAAGAAGCAATTCTTTCGTGAGGAGTCATGCAACTTCCTAGACCTTATCCATTCCTGGATGAAAAGGACACAACAAACATCAGAAAGCCAGGGCCACAGCTAGATAACAAAAGGCTAAGTCCTGTCTTCTGCAAAGTGCCAGAGTCACAAGAAGCCAATACAATGTTCTTTACACCCCCACCCCCTGCCCTGCACAATGTCTCTTTTGCTTTGCCATATATATTGCTGTGTATGACATTCAAATGACACCATAACTGAATTTCAAGCAGTTTCGATAGCAAAAATTTTGTATTAAAACGTTCAGATTTGGATGGTTGAATTCACACATGTGTGTGGTTCATTCTGTGAGCTCAGAGGAGCTCTGATTTAGCTCTGGTGAGAGAAGATCAACAAGGGAGATTGCTTGCACTCAGAATCTAATCACCCTGGGACTCTGTCACTAGGTTATCTGTTCTGTACAGACTTACTGGGGAGGCCTGGCTGCTCATTGCTAGAATAGTCTTCAGGGTCATTTCTGGAAATCAGCCCCAGTTCCAAAATACATGGACCTGGGTTTATTCTACTTTTATGTTGTATTAGGATCCTAGAAACACTTCAGTTACCCAAGTACTGAAAGCATATATTGCAGGAAAAATTTGCCAGTTCAGTATTCCCCCATTATACTATATACACTATGTGTGTGCGTGCAAAACTCACAAATATATATATATGTATATATACTTATGTAGTTTTATTTGTACGAAACTTGAACTGCACAAAACAGTACTTTGAAAGAATCAAGAGTCAAGTCCACAAATAAGAGTTTAACAACACACCATAGGAGTAGACAGGAGCTCTACTGGGACCAAAAGGTTTAGCTTTGCAATGTTGGAAATCATTTCAGAAACATAAATTCAACTAGCCTGCTGTGTTCCACATGGGATCTGGATCAACACTTTTGGGATCCTTGGGAAGAACGTGGCACCTGGGCCAGCTATGATCATCTGAGATTCCAGACCTAATGGGAATGAAAAAATCCAGGCAATTCAATTTTGGTGTATAATTGCTGTGAAGCAACATTTTTTTCCTTTTAAGAATAAACACATAAAGTCTACTTCAGAATAATTTTCTTTATATTCAGTAGTATACCTTTTTTTTTCTTTTTTTTTTTTTTTTGCTGGGTTGATGTTTGACTTTCATATTAAAATGGGTCTATTCAGTGGGTCAGTAAACAGACAGCTTCTTTCACATCTGGGTGATAAAAGTGTTTTATGTTGTCACCAGAGATCACCCCCACCCGCACCTTACCTATCCTAAGGTCTGTGGGTTGATGTGTGCGTTTTGTCACTGCTATCAATACAACCTCATTCTACAAGGTCTGCTCTGGCACACGCTTGTGAAAAATGACCGACTGTCTTTGCTGGTACTGCTGCTTGCGGCGCTTTCGCTTGTCACACTGGCACAACAGTAGCATCTTGAAGGTGGTTCTGAATGTTTTGTTGCACAGGGCATAGCACACGGGGTTTACGGTGCTGTTGATGTAGCACAGCCAGTAGCCCAGATTCCAATAGGTTTTGGGTATGCAGCTGTCACAGAAGGTGTTCACCAGAACCATGATATTGTAAGGGGTCCAGGTGATGATGAAGGCGAGCAAGATGGCGCTGAGGGTCTGGGCCGCCTTCTTCTCCTTGATGAGGGACATCCTTTTCCGTTTTGTGATCTGGCTTCTGGTCTTCAGAGCAAATCGCTTGGCCAGAGTGGCTTCCTTGAAAGACAGAGGTAGAGTGGCCGTGGTCTTACCCACTGACGAGTCTACGTCTGAGGTCTTGGCTGTGTCCACGGCAGACTCTAACTGGATGGGAATCTTGGAGAAGCTTTTTGGAAAACTGCCTCCATCATCCACACTCTTGTGAGCCTGCAGCTTGTTGCCTTTTCTCTCCAAGTCCTCTGGCCCCAGCTCCTCCTCTGGTACGTGCAGGTTGTCTGACGAGGGTAACTTGGTGGAGTTGAGAATAGTACTGTGACCTGGAAGCTTCAGTACAATTGAGTAGATGGCTCTTGTCTCAGAGCCAATGTCCTCCTCATCAGAGGAGGCGGAGTTTTCCAGGGAGGCAGCAGCATCGTTGTTGTTCCAGCTGTCACTGCTGCTGTGGTCTTGGTCCATCTGCTCAGCACTGGGTTTCCAGCTCTTGGTAGAGAACCAGAAGTGGCAGCGGCCGTACTTTCTCCTGGAGGAGCGCCTCATGCTTTGCTGCTGAAGCTCATAGCTGCTGCAGCTTCGGGAGCTGCCTGTGGGGTGGACAAAGTTTTCCACCTCTGCCTCTGTCCCTGAGGCTTGCAGTCCAGCAAGTTCTTTGGTACGTTTTTCAGTTTCCTTATAGATCCTCCAGTATAAAATAGTCATAATGGTGACGGGCATATAAAAGGCAGCAATAGCCGTGCCAAAGGTAATAGTAGGTTCACTGAGAAACTGAATGAAACACTCCCCAGGGGGCACTGTTCTCTTCCCCACAAAGTACTGCCAGAACAAGATGGCAGGAGCCCATAGGACAAAGGAGATGACCCAAGCCAGACCGATCATCACACCAGCTCTTTTTGTTGTTCGTTTGGCTCGGTACGTGAGTGGCCTTGTGATGGAAAAGTACCTGTCAAAGCTAATGACCAGAAGGTTCATGACAGAGGCATTGCTGGCTACATAGTCGATGGAAAGCCAGAGGTCACAGGCCAAGTTCCCTAACGCCCATCGGTTCATGATGATGTAGGTAGTAAACAGATTCATTGAAATGACCCCAATGATCAGATCAGCACAGGCCAGGCTTAAGAGGAAGTAGTTGTTGACCGTCTTCAGCTGCTTGTTGACCTTAAATGACACTATGACCAGGATGTTGCCAATGATGGTCACCAAGGCCAGGAAGCCTGTTAAAAATGCGATGAAGACCACTTGCCAGAGGGTATGGCCTCCCAGAGGGTCACTGGTGGTACCATTTGGAGAGGAGAGATTCCCAGCTGCTCGAGAAACATTGTAGCTGCCAATATGAGTGACTGTCCCTGGGGGCAGCCCTGCATCAGAGGGGCTGTGAATCCAGGAAGAGCTGATGTTTGGAAACAAAGGCGAGGTTGAAGTGTTATTGTGCAAGGTCATTGTGACTCTCTGACATAGTCTGCAGGGAGAAAGAGAGAAGACAGTGAGTTAGTTTCTGTCTTTGGTTTATATTTTCTTTGTATGGGACACATGAAAAGAAACAAAAGACCTGTTCCACAAGGCTCGTCCTGGAGCAGCCAGATGTGAAGTTCATTCTATTAAAAAATGAGATGTCTAGGGCAATTTGTTTGTTTGAATAGTACAATTAGCTATTGTCATGCATTGAACGTTGTACTTTCCCCCCGTATTTATAGATGTATTTCATAAGGATTTCCAGGAAGATCATCCTCACATCTCTTATTTTATATAGGATAAAATATTAAAAGCTTACATATATGTGTGTAATTATATATATGAGATAGATAGATAGGAAGAAAGAATTATTTCTCCCACTGCTATGGACTAGATTCAGTAGTCCTGCCTCAATGAGATCCACTCTATGCATTCAATGTTTGGTCAGCAGAGATAAAAATCTGAGAATACTTAAGTTTGCTGATGGTCTAGTAAAGTCTCAGCTACAAACTCTTACGAATAGATACATTCACATTGCGTGGGTTCTAACTCCAGCCGTGGGCTGACTGAGCACTTCTCAAAGCAGCGTGGTTGGGGGTCACAAAACATCATTTGGGAAGATTTTGTGGGGTAGCATACTCATATCTCAGTTCCACCATCATTTAATGGAAGCAGGATATTCATTGGTGTTTAATCTGAATCCAGTTGATTAAAAAGTTAGAATTCTAAATTTCTGTATAATGGAATAACTTGTTGCTCAATTTCTCCTAGAATTTAGTTAGCTCTCTGAAAAGTTTTTTTTTTTTTCCCACATCAAACTGTTGCTAATATACATAAAATTCTTAGAAGAATCTCTAGCACATAGTATGTACTGTTATCTTTTTATTGAACAATGAGCTCGCTTTACTTTGGCTTCCAGGATTCTCACAGCCACATTTAGCACAATAATAAATATCAGAAAAAAAAAAAAACATTTGTTGGATGATACTACACAGTATACAACATACAAATACATTTTGTGCATTATCTTCTTTAATCTCTCAAATGACTACATCTTATAGTAAATAGACATGAAGAGTTAAGTGATTTGCCCAACGTCTTTATTTAAAGGGTAGGGGAAGGGGATGTAGAGTCACACCCAGACAGCTTGTTTCCATGTCACTCTGCAGCACTACCAGGCCTCCCCATCAGCACATTCTAAGTGTTCTGTGCTTAACTGCACCATAATTGATTTGTACTTAAAGCTTATGGGTTGCTCCTCCTCACCTAAATATTGGCAAAAATGCAAATGAGAGGATAATCTAGTGTTGACAACAGTTTTCACAGAATACTTTTCATGTTCTTGGAGTGGCAATGTAAATTGGTCAACTGTTTGAAAAGCAATTTGGCAGCACTTGTCAGGAAAAAAAATGCCAAAAACCAACATCCAAACAGCCGTATGATTTCTACATGTAGAGTATACATCTATATGTATAATACCAATAGTGCTGGACTTTAAAAACACTTATGCATCCACAATATAGCTATTTAATTTAGTACTCTTTGGAATAATAAAAAAAATTTAAACTAGTTGAATATCCTACATAATGATGTACTGTAGAGAATAATATTTATCTATAAATTTTTCACTTTACACACATTTTCAAATATAGGACATAGATGGATTTCTCCTGTTTAATTTACTTCCTTAGATTTTATATGGTAATACCAAATCATCCTACATTTAGATTGTCTCACTGAGGAGTATCTGGGAAGTTTGGAGCATTAAGCTACAGTTATGCCTTCCCATGACACTCACATATCTTTTTGTTGGCTTTCCCTTCCACCAGATCTAGGTTTCCAATGAGTGCAATGTGCTTGTCTGGTCATCTGCTTCTTACTTGCTAAATACACTTCTCTTCTAAATACACACAACAGCCAGAACTAGGCCAAGCCAACACCAGGAGATGGGAACCTGATCCCGCTCTCCCACAAAGGCGACAGGGACCCAAGAATTTGAGATATTGTCCATTGCCACCCAGTGTGTACATCAGCAGAAACTGAGATTGGAAACAAAGCTGGAGTTTGAGCCTAGACTACTCTATTGGTGTTCCAATCAGCCTGTTTACCATCATTCAAAATGCCTGCCTCCTCTCTGAATACTATGAAGAACCTTTATCTTCGCAACATCTCATGTACTCCAAAGATTCCTAGTCATGAGAAATAAATATCTTCCTCTACTCTCTGGGGTGCAACACAGACCTTTGCAGTCCTGCCTTTGTCATCGCAGCCCAAGAATCCTCTGAGTCTCGTGTAGACAGCATGTTTGAAACTTCTGGCCATTCAAGCACATCCTGAGTCTCCACTCAGGCGTTTTGTGGGAACTGATCATATTCCGTCACCCTCTTTGTCATGCTGATAATTACAATGCCTAATCATCCCAATGCATGACATTTTTGCTGATGATGTGTAGTTCTTCTTTCATCTTTCTTTATGCCAACATCTTATAGCGGATGTTTATTATTAGTTTTCCAAACAGTCCAGGATCCACAGAGCAGTTTGGAGGGGGAATATCAATCATATGGTTTTGACTCATCTACTACAGTGATGGACTGGAGGCAGTTTAAGTAAGGAGAAGAGCCTTGGGGAATTGATGTGAATATTGAAAAGAGAAAGAAAAATTCTCTGTAGAATTGCAAAGTACTGATCATCCTACGTGTAATCGCAAGGAAAACCTGGGAAACAACAGCATGCAGAGGAAAAAAGAAAAAAAACATGAGCGGGGAGAGATCAAAAGAAAGGTGGGAAATAGGGACAGTATGATGATGTTATCATTTGAAATTTGGTAACCATTTCTATGGCAACATTGTCTTCTTGACCTTGCAGGTTATATAAGTAAAGACATTTCTTTTGTTGCCTGGACAAAAACCTGAAATTGGTTTTTCTCATCTGCAGCTGAAAGGATTCAGATGAACATAATCTGTCATTGCCAACATCCGCACATGCTCACTGAACCCCTGGCAGCTTTAGGTGATTGTGATTGGTGCTGTGGAATTCAATAAGTCACTGCCTCTGCCCTCCAAGCCCTTCCTACTTCAAGAGAAATCTGGGACATGAACAAACTATTTTAAAAAACACAAAGTAATTTCAGCAATGCCAAATTGCTTTCCATGGATAATCAAATTGCTGTAGAAAATCACTAGCAAATAAATTTGATCAGTTGAACAATGTTATTAAAGAATATAAAGGGCCAGCATTTTGCCTCAGTGGCTTAAGGTGCTATGTACAACACCATCTTCCCATATGAGTTCCAGTTCAAGTCCCAGATGTTCCACTCTCTACCCAGTTCCTTGCTAATGTGCCTGGAGAAGCAGTGGAAGATGGTGCAGGCACTTGGGCACCTGCCACTCATGTGGAAGACCCAGGTAGAGTGCAAGGCTCCTGGCTTTGAACTGTTCCAGCTTCAGCCATTGAGGCCATTTGATGAATGAAGCAGCAGCTGGAAGACCTCTCTGTGTCTCTCCTCCTTTCTCTAACTCTGCCTTTCAAAGAAATAATAAAATCAATTGTTATGAGAAATAATATAAATAAAATTTTGGACAAAGCCTAAGGGTTAATTTCTTTCTGTGAATCTGTGGAACATAAAAGGTACAGCATTCCAGTATAATTAAGCTTTGTTAGAGTATAGAAAATAAGTCAGCATTGAGGAATCACACTTACAGGTAATTTAACTCTCTCTGTTGTTCTGTTATGCCTAAACTCCAAAGGCTTCTTTAAAAAAAATGTTATTTTGCTTTTAACTGACTTCAATAATTGTACTACTAATGAGGAAGAATATGATGTTCTGATGCATGCATGGAAGCTATTATGGCCAAATCAGAATAACCTCTACTAAGTCTCTGAATCCTAAGCTCTCAGGCACAGAATCTTTGATCTGAAGCATTTGGCACATCTATAGGGGTCCATTCTTCTTGTAACTCAGTATTAACATCTAATATCTTCCTGAAAGTCTCACAAATGTGCATTTTATTTAAAAAATTTTCCAGTCTCGATTTGCATATGATGAGTAAGATTTAGGAGCTTAGTAAAACCTGTAAAATTATAAAGGAACCATTAGCAGGAAATGTGCTGTCATTCAGCCATGTGATACAACATCAAAGTGACAATATTTAAGAAGTCCTGATTACTGCACTAGGGTTTGTTTCCAACAGCTTCAGACACGAAAGCTAAAGAAAGCAATGTGGGCAGGTATATTCACAGGGTTACAACGTTGCCTGGGACATCTGAATCGCAAGTACCTAGGTATGAGTTCTGGCTCTACTACCAGTTCCGGCTCCCTGCTCTTGTGTGCCCTGGGAGGCAGAAGGCAACACCTGCAGTTTCTGAGTCCCTTTCACACATGTGGAGAATCAGATGGTGTTCTGGCTCCTGGCATAGCTCTGGCTGTTGCAGGCATTTGAGGAGTAAAGCAGCAGCTGGCAGATCTTCCTGTCTGTTGCTTTCTTTCAAATAAACAAGTAAAAAAAAAATTTTGAAAAGCCTAAAATTCCACTTGGTAGATGAACCTGAAAATGAGGAAAACAAAAGCCTTCTGAATGGGAAGGAGAAATGATGAACATACATCATTCTAGTCAATTAGGACTGTCCAGGTAAGTGTCCGGGAAATTGTGGGTGCTCACCTGTTACTAAGAGGAAAGAGACAGTAACACAATTTATCTTAGCAAGTATGATGCTGTTGTTCCGATTAGTTATTTTTCGTTAGAAAGTAGCAAAGCTGAGTTGAAGAATCATGGTCCTTGGAATTTGGCTGACTCAGATTTGAGACCTGGTTGTCCCCAAAAGGTGCATAAGCTGCTAAATTGCCTAATCATTCTAGCACCACAGGTATCCATCCACAAAGCTGGAGTATCTATTCACTGGGTGATGGGTAAGGTGGGAAGCCTATAGTGTACTGGGCTGACATTTAAGGTATTTGTGGACATGTTGCTTTTTCTCTTGCATTGCCAACAGTTGCTATGTTATTTGAGTTGGGTTGTTCTTGTAGAAAAACAGAGAGGAAAAAACCAAGACGTTTTCACTTTCAAAAAATATACTTTAGTAGGTTATAGCCTAATAGCAATAGGAAATTCTGGGGTCTTACTGTGCAGAATAATTAGTA